GCTGGCTGCTGTGCTAAAAATTAGCTAGTGCGGCACAAGAATCCGTGGGCAACAGGAAACGAAGGCACAAGCGCCCCCTGTGATTCCAAGCCCTGGTGGCACCCAAGCGTCCACCCTCACAAGTGACACTGGCCATGTAGGAATGGAACAAAAACACATTTTCCCTCGACTTGAGAGTATTACTGTTTCAGATGGCTCCTGAGTTATTAGGACACAGGTGCTTTTCAAGCTTGTCTGGACCTAATAACAACCGATCCTTCTTCGGGCATTGGGGCACCGGGGAAAAGTTACTGAGATGTCAAGGGTGCTGCGAAGGGACATTTGGAATCCTCTGACGTAGGGCACCATGTGGCGGTGCCTGAGGACAAACGTTCCCAGAGAAGCCAGTCAGAAATGTCCTCATCGATTATCTGCAAGACTGTAAACAAACTGAAGTCACCCCCAGGCTAGTGTCTGAGATGTCGATCTCCAGCTCTTCCAGAAACATAATACCGTGGAACACGTGAGGGCCTTAGCTTTCTACTCTAGGCTAAAAAGCAGAAGATCTGGTTTATCGAGCATGCTAGATGGTTCTTGGAATTTCATTTGAAAGCTCGAGAACTCTGTGTCGGTCTATTAAATTGTGTTCACAGAAGTTTCCACGTAGTCTTGCCCGGAAATTCTCGAGAAGGAATACATTACAAGTACCATAAGGTAGAGTATTCTAGAAGACCTTACTGAATCAGGAGTGTAGCCGTACAGCTGCTTGCACACGCAAGGAGAGAAGGAATGGTTTCACGTCTGTCTTTAACCAGGAACAACTAGAAACCATTGTGCCTGGTAGCTTTGCTGGAGCCAGATAAGCTCTGTGCCCGGCGTGGGACTTGAACTCACGTCCTTGAGGTCGAGAGTCGCTTGGTCTACCCACTGAGCCTCCCAGGCGCTGCCGCCCCTCCCTGAACATATGCTAATTTTGAAATAGATACGGATGATTATTTTTCTTCTAAGGACAGTTCTTTGTTTTCTTGCTCGTTTGGTTCTTACAGCAGCGGTTCAAACATTGAGGAGTCCCGGGACTCTGCTGGCCCTTGTCAGATAGCGACTTCGCGTTTCTCTGCCGGGAGCCGGGAGCAGTGTGCTCGGGCCGCGTGCTGCCGTGGGTGTAGGTTGACGTCCTGCTGTCCTGGGTGTGGGGGTGGGGGGGGAGGGGGCAGCACTGGCAGGGGCGCGGTCACGGGCGCCATCACATTCTGCTACAGTCCGCCCGCTGCACCTGCACCTGCTCCTTGGCTCAGTGTTCTGTTGTTGTCAAGGACTCGCGGTTACTTGGGCTGGGACCCTCACGGTCGAAACGTTTGTGGTAGAACATCCTAAACTAGGTAGAAGTTCATGGAGGGCCAGTTCCCGCTACTCTCGCGGAGAGACCTTTGCCAGGCATCTGGGTTTAGGGGGCTCCCGTCCCACCTCGCGCTCAGGGGTGTGGGACCCTGCCCTTTGGAGCGGAGTCAGGCACGGTTTGGGTCTCACTCACCCGAGTTGTCGAAGAGGTCGGCAAAAACCCTCCTGCTGTGTGATTTGGGGCCCTCTTTACCAATATCGTAGTATGGATAAGGAAGGGTAGCGACCTCGCTGGAACTGAAACTCCTTGCACGTGAAGTCCTTTGATCTTGTGGGTAATTTCCAGCAGGCCCTTTCTGCTTGTGCCGCTGTTGCCACTGCTGGTCGTCTGCAGGCCGGTGACAGGGCAGGGGACACAGGTGGCCGCCGTGCACGGTCCCCTCTGCTTGAGGGAGGCCCGCCGCCCCCAGTGGCACCGTGTCCCGCGTCCGTGTGCTGTGGCCCCACCGAAAATAGGTGGATTGGGGAAGAAATTGCGAAGTTTTTCCGTCCTTTAACACAGCCGTTTCGTGCTGAGAACCGTCCAGAGCAGCGGCACAGGCGTGTGAACGAGGGACACGGGGCCTGACCTGCGCTCCTCCCAGTGCCTCCCAGTACCTGCCTGTCTCCCCCGGGGGTGTGGCGGAGCGCACCGAGCCGGCTCCTCGGTCGCCAGGAAACACAGCCGGTGTCTCCCGCGGTGTGGTGGCTGTGAGGGCGGCCGTGGGACCGAGGGACGGTCAGAAGAATGTGCGTGCAGTCGGGAAAATGTGGCGCAAGGTGTGGGAGCCGCACGTCCGCCATCTGCGCTTCGGCTGCGCTCCTGTCTTCGCTCATCGTCGCTCTGCTCCACGGAGAAGGTCCTAGAAGAGGGTCCAGCCTCTTGTACTGGATCCCGTTGGCGTCGGTCATGATGCCCTGTCCTTAGAGCTACCGGCCCCGCGGGCCCGACTCACGCCCTCTCCACACTAAATGTCACCCAGAGACAGTGTGTCCTCAGAACCCTGGAATTGAGGTTGTCTGAGACAAAATCCCTCATTTACACTTCAGATGTGTTTGATCCCGGAGGGAGACGGCTTGGCACCTGTCAGATGTTTGCGTATTTTTTTTAGCTGCCGTAGAATCTTTGTGTGTTCTTGTGTGACCTTCCCAGGGCTAGTCCAGTCTGTTGTGACTTGATTTGTGGGTCCCACTGAAGGCCGGTGACTGAGGATGGGGACTTTGGTGTTAGCTCAGCACTTGGCCCGGACAGTTGTCTGTACCCTGTTACCCCAGTTAGTCTGCTCATGGCCTTGAACTCGTTTGAAAATCGCTAATCTGACTGGGTTGGTCATGAAGAATTTGGATGAATGGAAGTGTATCACAACTGATTGGATTATAACTTTTCGTGGAAAGGACTCAAATTTTCAAAAATTTAAGTTTTTATAAACATTTTGTTTTATATTTATATATATACATATACGTATATATATATATACGTATATGTGTATATATATATATATATATATATATATATATATA